GCCCCGCTGACGGAAATAACTTGAACAAAAGACACACTTATAAATACATATTGTGCTCAAGATGACTGCTGGGAGCAGTGCAAACAAATGCTGGACGAAGACGATAGTGTAAGATGGAAGAAGGGTGCATTGCGGGCGTGAAGAACAATTCCAGTTACATATTTACAGAATAATGGATAGATGGTTACAAATACTAAAAGTAATAAGAAGTAAAATACTAGAAAGTAAAAACAATACATAAAATAAAAAAAAAAAAAAAGGCAAAACAGTGGAAACAATACATAAAAATAAGGCACAAAATACATAGTTCAAGGTTCATAAATTCAAGGTTTACAGTTCAAGGAGATAAATATATACAGGGAATAAGAAAAGCCGAATAAGCTAACTTAAGATAAAATTAGTTCACTACAGGTACAGAGCATACAGGGGCTGTGCTGGTGACGAGGATGGTGGCTGAGAATTACTCCAGCCTGTCTGAGATTTTGCGTGCAATGTTTATGCAATCGCATATGCGTTTCAATGCATTGCCATTTTTTGAAGTAGCTTCGGCCCATGCATGGATGTGGTTTGCTACTGGTTGCCTAAGATATTTGGCGGTCTCTCTGCAAGCGAACAGATAGTGGTCCGGATCTCCTACCATCCCGCATGAGCAATGCTCGTTTTCGCGTCGTCTGAAGCGATGCAGGTAAGTCATGAAGGGACCATTTCCTGTTAGATACTGAGTGAAGTGAGATGAGCCAGATTTTAGAAGCCGGCAGACTTTTGGAAAAAATCTGTAAACTCTTCTGCCGGTGGTTTCTGTCTCCCACAGATGTTGCCAACGTTTGAGTAATTCTCTCTCGAGCTCACTTTTAAGAACGAACCCGGGAGAGGCACGTCAAGTGTGCGAACGTGGGTGTCAGTTGCTGCTCTTTTGGCTATTGCATCTGCAATTTCATTACCCAGTATTCCAGTGTGGGCAGGTACCCACTGGAGTTCAGGCCTATAGAATTTAGGTGTTCTTAGAGTTTTTGTATGGCCCTGACGAGTGGATTTTTACTACATGTGCCTTGGATTGCCTGGAGGCTAGAGGCTGAGTCTGAATATATACTGGAATAGTTATATTCCAGTGCGTAGACAAGTGCAGCTTTTAATGCAATCAGTTCAGCCTGAAAAACTGAGTTGTGGTGCTTAAGCTTTCTTTCCCAGGTCTTTAAGATCTGGTTAACTGAAATAAATCTGCTTTTATTGCTTATAAACCGCTTAGTTCGTTAATTAATGGCAGAATAATTGTTTTAAAAATTTAATATATTGCGCTTTGCTGCCACTTGGAATATAAAAATATTTTAATTCGGAAAGGGGCAATGCATTCTTTTAAATCGCTGATTTTGTTCATTAAATTCGAAAGACAAATATATTGCTAGTGGCAACACGTTTCCTTTATATCGCCAAGTTTTCTGATTAACATAAATATCTTACTCTTTGCGGAGAGAAAACACAAAGCTTTATTGATGACCAGTGACCACATGTGCACATCCTTACCGGACTATGTTATAGACAAGTCAGTCTCTGATTCTCTATGGAATATCGCATAAGCGAACGCGTGAAACTCGCTAGGATAACTGCATGGGAATGAGAATGGGAGAATTAAAAAGTAGAGAATAAATCCAACTTTAAAGTTGTATGTACATTCTGGGACTTGGCGATAAGATTAAACTAAATTAAATAATATATAAAAGATTAAACGAAGGTGGGTCAATTATTTTATTGTTTTATTTCATAACATAACTCAAACTTTGCGCAACAATATACAGTTAACAAAACAGATCACGAAATTAATAAAAAAACTTAATTGTGCGCAATAGTTCAGGCAAAAACACGGTTAAACGTTAATAAACATTGACAAGCTGAGTGAATCTAGGCCACACACATTTTTTTTTTTTTTCTTTTCGCTTTTTCTAATACAAGATTATCGCGTTATATTATATACTTGAATTGTGACGTTATCAAATTTATCAAGAACATTTTTTTCTATATTTTGACTTTAGCAGAGAAATCTAGTAGATCTCTGAAGTCAGGCTGAACCTAGCTGAAATCAAACATTTTATTCTGGCAAGCCTCCTATTAGAGTTATGAGTCAAGCTGAACCAAACTGAAGTCAAACATTTAGTTTTGGAAAGCCTGTTATTAGAGTTATGAGCCAAGCTGAAGCCAAGTATTTCTTTCGGGCAAGCCTGTAGTTACATTTACGAGAGTGTATCAAATCCGGTGGGGGCGTTAATCTCCCCGTGTTTGAGAAGAATTCTCCACGATTGAAAACTCCCGAGATAATTGTTTTGTTCGTGTTCTTACTCGCGGTTGAATGGTTCCTTCGTGTGTAAATCTAAAGTAAATACGGGTCAGTTTGCCTTAGAATGTTCTCCGTGAAAGCATCCTATCTCATAAGCAGTTAACCCTAGTAAAGCTTACTGCAATTAAATTTTCTAATTTCAATGCACAGAAAATACAGCAGAAAATAATTAAACGGGCTCTTTTGGCTTACCTTCCGGTAGAAGTATTTATATAAAATGAGTGGTGTTAGTGACGGTCTTAGGAAACAAAGTGTAAAAGTATTTCTTTAATAACAAGCACTATTACATTAAACAGAGTTATATGTACTGATTAACCATTAACATGCTATATTTCCTCGTGTATTTTTTGCCTTTTTACTTCCTTGTACGAAGTAAAGGAACCATTGTAATCGCGAAAAATTTCGGGTAACATGTTTCAATGGGAATACCCATTTAGGTAAGTCTCAAATCCAATTCAACGATATTTTTGCGTTACAACTAAATGTAAAGACAGAATAAATTATTCTTTTACCCAAAGCGGGTTGTAAAATGGATTTAGAATCCATTTTTCCCCTGATGTCTGTACGTACGTACATACGTATAAATGCATCTCGCATAACTCAAACACAAGCAAGCTCAGAACGTTGAAATTTTGTATACTGGATTGCTATAACATGTAGTTGTGCAGCTCGCTTTTTGGTTGCAGTTGGCCACACTATGCGTGTGTATATATATATTAAATGTAAGTTAATTAATGTAAATGTAATGTATAATTAATTAAAATGTAATAAATTATGTGTCATTAGCCTAAACCTTGCGCTGAAGGTGCATAGTTAGAAATAAATATTTATTATTAAGAAGAATTATCTTCCAGGAAGAGATAGAAAAAAAAATGTGATCATAAGTGTTAGTAAAAATATTTGGGAATTTGTTAAAATCATGAACAAAGTTAAAAGTTTTTTAAAAAAGTAAAAATCAAATAAAATTATCGAAATCCAAAAAATTTCAATTAACATCATTGAACGGAAAGTCATTGACTTTTCAAGGGGAAAAAAAACCTGTTTCCCTTCAAAAAATTGTTAATAAAAGTTATAACGTATCGTTTCCTTTATTTGCAAGAATCACAAACCAAAAAATAATAGTGTAAGTAATGGATTTCAATTATTAGGCATATAGCCAAACAGATCTATAAAACAAGCCAAAAATAAAAACAAGAAATTTCAGTTTTAGTAATTTAACTACCTCGCTCGGTGAGCTCAGTCTTTTTATCCCTTACGCTGGCAAATTGTGCACTTTTGCTTTAAAAGTGATTGTTCTATGTTGTTCTTAGGTTCTGGTTAAGGTTTTTATGCCTTTAGTTAATCTGCATGCAATAGCTGCAGAAGTACCACCAACTTAAAAGTGGAACTTACCTAACGAAGCCGCTATTTATTTACATTTCAAACTCTTAGCAGAATAGACTAGTAAGTCAATTTGTGGCCAACTTCAGCGCATTTTACAGAGTGGGACCAAAAGTAAATTTTCAGTTTTCTGAACTGAACAAATCTGTCCTGCGCACTGGCCGAATAGATTGTTTTTACGTAGAAACTAATTTTAAATGTAAATTTATTTTTATTTTATTTTTTTTTAACTTCTTTTACTGTATTTGATGTCTATTGTTTTTCTCTGTTTTACGGTTTTTAATGAAGATGTGTTGAGCTTTTATATATTTTGCCTTGCTGTGAGAACTGAATTAATTGAATGAGAAATATACTTCTAATGAGATTGGAAGAAATAAGTATAAATAAAATGTAGCAAAAATGCGTATAATTTAATAGGTTGTACATGGAAGGCATGTGGTGTCCATATCAGATTTTATTTTACTAGTTTTATCGTCCGAAAATTGGGGGGGGGAGGATTATAGGAATAAATTAGTTTCCGAAGGACGTGGTTACAGTAAGGACATAATGAAAAATAGTCATGAATAAACTACAAGTAATTATCAAAATATTGCATCTTTAAACGAAATCTACATTCCAATAAGAATACATAGTAATATTAGCCCTGCAATCTCTAATATGATAGTTTCATTTCTATTTTCCTTTAACTCGAATCTCGCACGTTGTTATTTTTGTCTATGCTGCCCATAGGCCATAAGCAACTGAGAAGATGAATGTGCAGCTGACTGAGCAAAATCGTACACTGAATGTCAGTTCGTGTTTATTTGGCTGCTATTAGCCGGTTCTCGTATTATACTGGCCTTAATTCCCATGGTTAGAAGAAAAGGTTCGACATGACTTTCGCAGATAATTTGCGAAGGTTTGTCTATGTTAGTAAAAAGGAAAAAAAAAATACCACGTGAAGGAATCTACTATAAAACTTAGGAAAGCTCTGAACAGGTGATTTGCTCTAATCAAGCTCCAAACTTAGCTCGTTTTCTGAATGCATTGAATGCATCACGAGAGTATTTTTTAATTTTTCAAAGATTGGCGCTAAAAGGCAAGGGGGAAGGAATACGCGAGGCGATAATATGCGTGAAGAAATACGGTAATACGTTTTTCTAGGTAAAAACGACTTTTCTGGTTAAAATAAAATCAGACCTTTAAGAATGGAGCTTGAGCAAATTTACTCACATATATATACGTGTGTGAATGCATGTATATTGAATTAATCGCAAGATGCTTAAGAAATATCAAACAGCCTTATCCTTACCATTAATCTTCCATGTAGGCTTTATGTGCTGTCTAAGCAAGGCTATATTTTGATAACAGGCGACGGCGGCGTCCAGAGCATTCCGCCCTTGCCAAGGATAAGCAGAAGCATGAGCTTCTTTTCCTTTGTATTCCACTGTACCCTGTAAAGGATGTCATTGCTTAATTCACTTCAGTAACTCAAATGCAACAAAATCCCAGTGTCTTTACTACTCAATTACCACATCAAAGACAAATACGAGATGATTATAAATACCGAAACTGGTCATACACATGATTGAAACACTGTAAACTGGTCATAGCAGGAAACATAATCATAATTTTGAATTTAAATCGGCAAAAAGCATTCGCAAAGCTTCTACAGTCGGTGAAATGCATTTCATTGAAGCTTTTCACGTTCACAATAATTTATTTTCTTTAATTAATTATATTAATTCCAGTCCAGGCCTATCTAACGCTTTTAGAGTTCTAGTACCTTAGTTTTTCATGTTCAGTTACTGTTTTTCCCGACAGATGGCGTTAGGTATGGGTTAGTTTTGCTTTGTTCATTGTTTTCGATGTAAATGTGGTCTTCGCTCCTTCCATTTCGCAATTCTTTTTTTCTGTCTTGAAGAAAAGGGACCGGTGTCTAATCTTTTTCGAAATCAAAACATTTTTATACAAATGTACGCTATACCCCCCAGGGGCCGACGTAGAGGATTCTGCGAAGCTACTGACTAGGATCTGTACCTAGGTAGTCTCGGCCACGGGGCTGTAAAATTTATGAACTTGGTGGTTCTGAAGGACCCGGAAAGGTCACTCATTGGCCGGCCCACTGGTCTGGCACGTCCTAGCGCGGCGTGGTACCAGTAGCCCGAGGGGGGGAGCATCCCTGGGTAAGCTGGGTAATGTCCCGCTGCGACGGGCAGCCCGAGCGACTGGTGGGTAGCAAATTAACGACCAGTGCCATCTGGGAGACTTATCCCAATTCAACAAAATAAATTGCAATGATTATACAATTGCACACTAATTTTTTTTTTTTTTTTTTTTTTTTTTTTTTTTTTTTTTTACAGATAACACTGCTACACAGCAAAATTAATAAATTATATTTTTATATTTGATTTAATATTAATTAATCTGGTTTTAAGGATCTCTCTCTCTATATATATATATGTGGGTGTATAATAATTCTGGGAGCATAGAAGAGGAATTAGTTTGCAGTCATCGTGGCAGAGGGTGAAAGCTTACAGATGAAGATAACAAAACAGGAACTTGACGAATTTCCGCGCATATAAAATCATCTGAGTAAATATTTATCTAATCGTAATGAAATCCGAGACATTTCTATAATTTAATCATAATTAAATATGATAAATTGGCATGTACATTGATTCTTAAAATTAAGACGCAGGCATTTTAGACGGCGAGGCAAAGTAAGGAAGTATTAGCAAGGTAGAAGCTAGCAGAAGTGACGCAATTAGCTTCCAGGGGTATTTATACCAAGTTTGATGTACAAGTACAGCTAATTTATGACTGGTTAGTGAGTAGCGTTACATAACATAGAAAAATCTCGAAATTGGGAGAACAGATGAATTTAGGGGGAGAGCACCAAATTTAGTGTGTTAATTTTAATGTTGCCAATTATTTTTGAAAGCAGCTATCATATTTTTTGTTATATCTTACATATATACATATATTATCAAATTATTACCATGTAAAGAAAAATGAAAAATTTTATATAATGCCCATTATTTTTAGGAAAATTAAAATATGCTATTAATACTTAATGAAAGAATATTTTATTAAATTGTCAGAAGCCCACAGCATGATAGGAGCTGTGTCATCCTCCAGGGTGTGGTGCCTGGTATTGTTGGCTCAGTTTTGCCTATGCGTAACATGGGTACTAGTTAATTTCCTCAAATATTTCTCCACAAAAAGCTGATGTACCTCACATACCTTTACACAGTCAATTAAATAACAATTTATCTCTCGTATTTGCGTGTTGAATTTTAATATTCTGTTTAATTTCTTTAAAAATATTATAAATTATAAATAATTAAAAATGTCGTTTCCCTGCAAATGTTTAGTGCCATTAAGAGTAACAAAAGCCAACTTCCTGAGATATATAGTATATAATATTGTTACGAATTTTGTACACATATAGATGATTTTAGTGCAATTATATCGGAAATTGTTGCCCTTTTCTGTACAAATTAACCTGATAATTTAGAGATGCGATACTCTTCGGGGGAGGGAGAATACAGTGCAAGTCTATTTAGCATTGACTAGAGAACTATCTCGCTAATTTGGCGAGATATCGCTAAGCTGGCAACGATTCAAATTTGGCAAGAAATCGCCAAGTCACCAAACGTGGCGACATTTTGATCCGGTCCTTGTATCACTGTAACAGGTATTGTAATTGAATAACTGTAATTGATTTCATATATAAATGTAACTGTATTCTACTCTCATATGCCCTCCAGTAATTTTGAGAAATACTAGAAATATCTCGGTGGCTGGGTGAAAACTATATAAGACCGGAGAGAGCATCACTTTCTGTTGTTGCTTATTCAGGATGAATTCCGAGTACTGAGCTACATCCGAATTAGCTTCGTTCTTTAGATAAGCTTTGCATTACTTTGTGTTTAACGTTCTTATATTTTGAAGTTGTATTCTGTGGTATTGTCAATAGTTATATGATTGGAGAGTTCCAGAATTGTGAAGTGTTACGTTTGGGAAAATAAATTTTATCAAGCTATCGTCAATTCTGTGCGCATTCAGTCTATAACTAACCCATACGCAGCAATAATAATATGCTTTTCAATATTATTCTTCCAGGCTTACATTATTGTTCTATTTACAGTATATTTTTGCTCCGACAAAAATATTTTTAACTCTTAACAGTAAATCTTCTTTACCTTATTCCGGACCCACAGTTATATGTATGTTTCGGAGGATGGATGTAGAAAAGAATTATTTCATATGGCAATGCTGTTTAAGTTAGGAATCCAGGCTTTTACGGAACTTATCATACTCCTCCTCCCAAGCAAAAATTATATGTTTCATAGCAAAACCAGTCTCTCCTCTCCCTGGTTAATCTGAGAAAGGAGATGCCGCCAAAATATATTTTTAAACTGTTTTTGTTAAACTTGGTTTCTTTATTTATTTGAGTTAAATCTTGAAATAAATTTCTGACTCACTTCTCTCGTTCTATCGACTGTTTTTTTTTTTTTTTTTTTCCTGGAATAATTCTTCCCTCCTTTCTCTCTCTCTTCGTTGTTTAATGGTCAGCTTAAGCCAGCAGAAATTTTTATTTCTACTCTACGGTAAATCAAAATATGGTCTTCAAAATAAAAACAATTCGAATTTCTAAATAATTTATCAGATTTCGGCGGGTTTCAAAATCATTCACTTTCTTTGCCATCGTACAATTGCTAAGGACGTGCTTTTAAATCAAAAGATTTAATATTTCCTTACCAGCAGCGTATTTTAAATGATAATGAAGTCAGATTTCTAAATCAAACGGAAATTTATGAAAGTAAATTACACTAAGAAAAAAATCGGCAGACGTTACAGAGATAATGACGTCTGCTATCAGGCTAAAAGGAATGAATTTCCTGTATTCAAATGAGATGAATTTCTTAATTGCTCTTTCCTCATTCTAAAGGCTAAAAAGAATAAAATAAAATGTATCAAAAAATTCAAATTACATGGCTTTAGTTAAATAGACCTAGAAGTATAATTTTAGTTTAACTGTAAAATTTTCTTGATCACGCGATAAAAAAATTATTTTAAGGTTTTTTTGTATACACACTCATGTCCATAAATTAAAAATAATGCAAAATCAGGCAAAGGAAGAGTTAGAAGCAAAACAAATTTGACTTATTTGTAAAACTTATTTATTAAACAAAAAGAAAAGTGAAAAAAAGATGCTATATGTTTGATATTATTAAAAAAATTAGCGATTTTTTCTCCCTGGAGCAAATTAAAAAAAAAAAAAAAAAACCTATTTACAAAAAACCAATATTACATGGTTGGTATTGATTGTTAATACATTGTATGTCTCCCAGACGATGCAATACAGTCCGTACAACGCCTAGGCATGCTGAGTATCAAATTATCGATCTGATCTTGGGGATATTACACCACTCAAAAAAGCAATGCTCTCCGAAGTTCCGGTAGACATGTAGGAGGAGGTTGATGGGCTGCAACTCGTCGGCCAAGCATGTCCCACACGTGCTCTACTGGATTCAAGTCCGGTGAGAATGCTGCCCAGTCCATACGGGTGATATCCTCCGATTGAAGACATTCGCTTACGATGTTTGCACGGAGAGGACGGGCGTTGTCATCCATAAACACAAATTGTGCGCCCATGGCGCCCCGAAACAAACGTACCTGTTGTTCCAGAATGACGTCCCGATAGATTTGGCTTGATGCAGATCAGTTCTGGAAACCAGAATAATTCCACCCCAAACGAGCACTCCTGAATCACCGTAACGGTGTCGTTCAATGATGTTTTCTTGGTAGTAACGGGTACCTGGAGCTCTCCATATGAAAGTCCGGCGAGAATCAGACTGCAAGCTAAACCTGGACTCGTCGGAAAACATCACACAAGCCCACTGTTGCGGTGTCCACAATGCATGCTCTCTACTCCAGGCTAACCGCAGGCGACAGTGAGTTGCAGTAAGTGGAACGCATCTGACAGGTCTACGAAGCATATAGACCAATCTGCCCTAAGCGTCTGTACACGGTCTGCCTTGAAATTGTCGTACCAGTGGCTGAAGAGAGCTGACGAGACAGGTCTGAGGCTGTGCTCCGCCTGTTTCTTTTGGCAGTAACTGCCAAATACCGGTCCTCATTCGGCGTTGTAACTCTGGGGCGACCTGTGCTGTAACGTCTACTCACATTACCATCATCTTGGAATCGTTGCCAAAGCCTGGAGCTGACACTCTGGGCAATTCCAAGTTGGTCTGATACTTCCAGTTGGGTACGCCCACATTCCAGACGGCCGATAATTCTACCACGTAAAAAATCATCCAAATGCGTCCTTTGTGTCACAACTATTCGGTTATTGCACTGAAATGCTTATAAAGCGCCGGCGAACAATTTTACTTCTTTGCCTGTACTCCTTATATATCACTCTCTTACACTCTCGTCATTGTGA